ACTCTGTAGGTAGAATGAAGTAATGTTCCAGGGTTAAGAGCGCCAGTATGATATATTCTTTTGCATAATACCGTCCAACACGATTTTTGACCCACGAATAAATCAAACATTTTCGGAAACTATAACCAAAAAAGTGGCAAGACCTCTTTTCAAAATTATTAATAATTAATAGAAATTGGTAGTTTGTATTATGAATCCGATGTCAGATTTCCAAAACTCAAAATGGAGGTAAAAGTTTTTTGAAAGTGAATAATATTTGGTATCTGGAGGGTTCAAAAAATTTACGCAAAATTATCTGGTGTACAACTTTGCTTCCAAAATTAAAAGCTTTATTGCGAAAAAGTGCTTACAGATATATTATTCAAAGTATTGTCCTTCGCTAGCGACAACTTTCTCCCATCTTTCCGGCAATTTTCGTATCTCGCCTCGAAAAAAGGAGTCCTCTTTTGACGCTATCCATGAAGCAATCCATTTTTCCAATTCTTCGAAGGATTGAAAATGTTGATCTGCCAGGCCGTGTGCCATCGAACGGAATAGGTGGAAGTCAGAAGGGGCGACATCTGGGGAATACGGCGGGTGGGGCAAGACTTCCCATTTCAGCGTTTCCAGGTACTTTTTGACCACTTTTGCGACGTGAGGCCGAGCATTGTCGTGTTGGAGGATGACTTTGTCATGTCGCTCTTGATATTGTGGCCGCTTTTCTTTTAGCGCGCGACTAAGGCGCATCAGTTGCGTTCGGTAGCGATCTCCTGTGATGGTTTCACCCGGTTTTAAGAGCTCGTAGTAAATCACACCGAGCTGATCCCACCAAATACAAATCATAACCTTGGCGCCGTGAATATTCGTTGAAACCACTCCCGACACGTTCTTTCACTCAGAGCAGCATCACCGTAAGTTTCTGAGAGCATTCGATGCGCTTCAGCTGCATTTTTTTTTCGAATTGTAACAGAAAAGTAAAACTTCCCGCAAATGGCGAGAATTAGGCACATAAACGGACATTTTCGAGCGTGAATAATACGAAAACAAGAACAACTGTCACTGAAACGGCGATGACAATTCGTTAGGCACTGTCCACACTCACTTTAAAGGCATTATCATCAATGTATTTCAACCAGCCTCAGCCGGTACAGCCACCTATCGGAAAACGGCGGAAGCAAAGTTCTTGCGAAATTCTGCTCAATTAATTTTAGTCTACAATTGTTGTATAAATGATATACTAATTTTTCTAAGATATGAATTTTAATATGAGTTTAGTTTATAAGTAAAAAATAGTTGTCCGTTTAAAAAACTCTGAAAATAACGATTTTTATATATTTTATTGTAAATTTGGACAAAAAATCAATAATTTAATTAATTGTTGTTATGGGTATTAAGTAAACTAAAGGCCTGATTTGTTTATAGGAATTAAATATTTTGTTATACAACAAGGAAACTTCGTAGAAGTGACAGCTGTTTCGGAGATCACCACATCTCCTCAGCAGACTTCTTATGGCAGGGATTGGGCAAGCAGATCCTGACTGAACAAGCCGCAAAAAAACAATTACGAGTAAATGTTTTGATTCTCAATTTATCATTCTTATCAGATCTTCCTTTTCTTATTTTGATTATGAAATAAACGGCTTCAGAAACATCAAAAAAAAGTTTTTTAAATTTTTCAACGCCATTTTGAATTTTGAAAATATGACAAGCTCATAATGCACCCTGCTGAATTCTATGAATTATTAACAATTTTTAAAAAAGATCCTGGTTTCCGAAAATGTTTGATTTTTTCTTGGGTCAAAAAAAGTTAAATTTTGTTGGACGGTGTAATAGCACAAAAATTAATTAAATATTTTTTTAATTATATATGGAGAAATTATTTAGTTATTAAGAAATGGTAGGGATGTTTATGTACTTCTATTTATTCTTAAAAAAAACTCTTTACCATTCCACTATTCCAAAATAAAAGGCATTATGTCTTACCATCTACATATCGTTCGAGTAAAAAAATACCATAGTTAAAATTTCCCGATTTATGTTAAATGTGCACCGTTCCACTCGATAACTTTTACCCATTTTAAATGCGATGTCATTATGCCAAAAATTTGGAGCAAATATTGGAGGCCAATAATTCACCAGTCAAATCATGCGCCATAGATAGAAACAGATGGTAATCAATTAATGCGAGGCTCGGAATATATGGTGAATGCATAAGAACCTCCCAACCAAGCTTTCAAAGTTTCCCGCAAGTCACGATCGATGTGTGTAGTCTGGCGTTGTCCTGATGATGCATAAATCAAGTCCTGTTGGCCTAAGCTGAGCGCTTTTGGACAATTTCTTCCTTCAATTTCTAAACACCATGAACGGATATTTTAAGAGTTCGACCATAGGGCAGCAGCTCATACTGGATGTTTCCTTGCAAATCCCACCAAAAACGTTACAAAAAATTTATTTCATTGACATTTTCGATAACTTCGGCCTTCTACATCATGAAGCATCTTTCACCTCAAAATTACCGGAACGAAATCGACGGCACCAAAATTGTGCATGATTGATTGTTACAGTGTCAGTGTATCTTTTCTGGTGTTCATCTTTGACATGGGCTCAAACAATACTGAGTTAACACACTTCTCGCGTATCATATGATCTTTTTAACGCCAATCGAAGACGATGGAAAATACGTTCCATTACCCGACAATGTCGAGGTTCAATTAGCGATTGTTCGCTTAAAGAACAATAAAGCGGCTGTGCGCTAATAGCCGTGGTACAATCTTTTCCAATAGTGTCCGACTACTTGCATACCCCGATGATATGCATTGGTGTCATAGGCCTTAACAACCGCGTCATTAGTTCTGCTTTCTCAAGACTTAATAAAAAAACCAAGCGAATGGGTCTGGTAGTGAACGAAAAATGTTCTCCATGAAATCCAAAGCAGAATCACTCTTACCAGCAGGTGCTACTTTGGACTGAGTAGGTAATTGAAAAGTTAAGTCCTCTTTCAACCAGCGAAAATCAAATCCTGCAAGTCGCTCATCGTACCCGTCCTACTACAATTTTTTACGGAAGCGTTTGAACAATGAGCTGGGCGATTTATACGATGATATGGACATAGTTCAGCCAATTATCTCTTCATTGGCGGCTACGGTAGCTAGGTCATGTCGTTCGAATGGACGAAAACCCTTCAGCTTTGAAAGTAATCGATACAATACCCGCTGGAGGAAGGAGGGAAAGAGAAAGGCTCCATACCGTTGAAAAGAGGAAGACCAATCTCCGATTGGTGTAAATCAGCGAAAAAAAAGAAACAAAAGGCGCATTGTTATAAATTCGGCTATAATCGCGTAAGCGGTGTCTACGCCAGTAAAGTAAGAAAGTAAGTGCCAACCCCAATAGATTATTTAAGCCATATATTGCAAAAATAATGGATACCTTTATCTCAAACAAGAAAATAAGGTATGTTCGCTAAGAATTTTTTTTATTTTGCGGCTACAGAATCGACTTGAGCTTGAATAATCATAGATCCAATAGGTACGATCGTCTTACTTCGAGCCATTCATATTGACATTTTTGAGAAGCGAAGAAGTGATCCACACATACAAGTAAGTACAGAAAAATTGTATTTTTTTTTAATAAATGATCGGATGTTTATTTCAATGTAAAGAAAAAAATATGCCATTAATAATGGAAAACAATATCAGCCATATGGCCGCCACGGCTACGCTTACAGGACGGTATTCATTTTATGAAATTTTCCAGCACGAAATCGCAAAGTGGCTGCTGTATGTCTCAATAGTTTCACGAATTCCATCTTTGTGGTCTTGAATCGACGTTTGCGTAGATCTTATCTTTCTAATGGCCCCAAAGGAAGATTTCGTAAGATGGTAAATCACAAGGTCTCAGTGGCCAGTTGCGATCACCTGCTGCAATTTTCTCTTAAAGGATCGATGATATCGTTGCTTGTGTGACACGCAGCGTCGTCTTGTTAAAAGTAAACGTTGTCCATAAAAATACCATCCAATCCCGACCATAAAAATCATTAATTATCTCTCAATAGCGCAATCACTGTTGCTCCAGCCTCATTTTCCAAAATAATAAGGCCCTATAACCCCGCCGGGCCATAAATCGCACCAAAGAGTTACTCGTCGAGGATGGAGAGTCGTTTCGACGAACAGTCTTATGTTTTCCGAGCCCTAGATGAGATGGAAATGGGCCTCATGAGTCAAGATGGTATTTTGTTGAAATTTTTATAGTGAATTTTAATAATATCTAAGCGTTCTTAAAGCATGTATCATTCAATTTTTAATACTGACATTAGTTAGGCCAGTAAAATGTCAAAAAACTTTAGCTTCAAAATATCAATAATATAATAAAAAAACTTAATATTGTTGACAGAGTTCTTTCAAAACTTTTCAACACTTCTGCTATAACCACCAGAAGACTGTGGGTCGCGCTAAGAAGATAATTGAGCCATTGGCCACAGACCGCAGTGCGGCAGCAAGTTGGAGCACAGATTGGAGGGACAGCCTATCTCGCAATGGAATTCAGCACTATTACAAAGGCTTCTTTGGTCTATGAATCTACGTACAAACAAAACAGCAAACTTTGTATCAGCAAATTTATTTTCTCGCTGGTTTCATTAATTATGCCATGGCTGAAGTCACTTCATTTTAAATTAAAAATCACAAATATTTGAAAGCCAGTATTAAAATTAAATTAAATTGCTGGTAGCTGATTCTGAAAATCGGTTTTGCCTATCTTCGAAAAAAGCAAAATCAAGTCGGTTTCCTAACACCATTTCAAAGAGATATTGATTTTCATTTCCGATCAATAAGCAATTCCCTGTCACTTTCTATAAACCATCGCTGATAAATTGGAATAAAATTTGGAGAAATTACGATAGCCACAATTTCATTTATATATCATACAATTTTCCATATACACATACATACATATTTACAAAAGTATGTACACATCTCTTTCGTTGTTTGTTTAATTTTTATTTATATTTGTTTTTTTATTTATCTTTATCATACATACAAATGGGCATATTTAAATACAATATTTCAATAAATTCTCTTCTTTCGACTACCAATTAAACAGCTTTGACTTTTTGGCATAAGAAATTTTTTTTTTTTTTTTGAGTTTCAATGAAAATAAATACATACATATTTTCTAAACATATTACTTATTTTAAATTAAAACATACACACATATAAACACGAGTTTAATTATTATCATTGCATTAAACATCATCTTTATTCATAGATTTCCCCTTCGTCTCTGGCAGAAATATTGATATGTAGAATAATCCCAGAGCAGCAAATGAAGCACACGCCCACATTGTTGCCGATAAGCCGAAAGTGTGCATAAATGGCGGAAATACTTTTATCATAATAAAGGTGAAAATGCTAAGTAATGCCAGGCAAATTGATGCGGCTTTGGCGCGTATCTGTGGAGATGAAGAATTCACATACATACACGTATGTACATACACGTAAACATACATACGTCAGTCATTATTTATTACTCTATTATATGTATATATATATATGTATACGTACGAGTATATATTGAATAACTATTAAATATCGTTGATTAAATGTAGAAATGCACTAAATTCGATACTTTTAAAAATATTTGTTATACATAGCACATACATACATGCATACATATACACTTTTTGATTTTTATATTTTTCAAAAGTTTTATTTTTTTATTTATTATTTATTGCTATATATTTTGAGTACTATTTGGAAAAAAAATTAGATTTTCGATAAAATAAAAAACTGATTTTGCCTCTAATTTAAGAGGTTACATGGGTTCATTTGGGGTGGAAACTGGTATATTTAAAAAAACAAAAATGGTATATAAAAAGTGAAATATTTGATTGAAACTATTTACTGTCTTAAAGATACATATGCACATATACATTTGAAATTAAATTTCTGAAATTTTCAATAGAAAATATTCATGACTCCGTCAGTTTGACGTCGTTGTCGAGGACACCTCGGAAAAAGATGCGTTTTCGTTGACAGTTGAACCCAGGACAGTGTCATCCGAAGGAAAAAAAATTTTGTTTTAGTCAATAGCAAAGGCTAAAATTTGGACTAAGAAAAATAATAAATAAAATAATAAAAGGGTAAATTGGATTTTTAGCAGATTTTTTCTACAAAAGTGTTAGCTTGGGTAAAATTAGCTAAAAAATTTTTTAATGAATTTTAACTAGAAGACCTGTGTGAAGGCTGTTAGGTTCAGTTTGACAACCGACTTTGTAAACACAGTTTCGAGAAAGAGTTTAAAGAGCTGAGTCTACTTGACTCTGAGCGTTTAACTTCCCAAGGCTGTATATCTGAAACTTTTAGTCGGATGAACTTGTAAATTTGGGATAATATTCTAGAAGCAATAAAAAAATAAGATTTTTAGAAACTGTGGAACAACTGAAAGCCCTCAAAATTGCAAAATTATTAGTTAAGGCGTTTCTATATTCCTTCAATTATTTGCTGGCATAAAAGCAAAAATATTTACAGAAACAACAAACAACAAATTTCTCAATATTTTTGTGCTCATGAGCATGATAATTGGATTTTGACTTTTCCTTTGTATGAATTTCTAATTCTTCTCGAGTGCCTCTTGCATTATTTATGATTAGGATACTTCTAATTATTGTTATACTCAGCTATGTACACAGATTATATTCGATTTATTCAGTACATATATAACATTATAAAATAATTAAGATAAATATAGACTCATACAATGATGAGACAAGTCAATTAAACCATGTCTGTCTGTTCGTCCGCCTATATGTATGTGCGTCTGTATACAGTATAACTCAACTAAGGATTGGGTTGTTTTGTTGAAACTATCATCACACATTGCTTGAGTAACAAGACGGACACTATTGCCACTGAGTGAAATCAGACCAAGCACAATCCCATGTCAATATAACGGTAATTTCGAAAAATACTAAAATCAGTAATTAAATGTGCAAATTAAATAAAAATATTATATAAGTGATGGAAAAAGAAATTTCTGGTTGGTATAACACCACTCACGTTGGGTATCAAAAAGTAAATTTCAAAAACCAGCGGTTGGAGGGCAGAACTCGTTAAAATATTATGCTTATGATACCCAAGGTAGTTTTTGTGTTCATATTTGACTTGATTTGTTAAGATCGGGCATTTGTTGGTGATACGGAATCGTCCTATATAACGAACTTTTCATCAGGTGTCGCTAAATAAGCGCAACCAATGCTATATTTTCGAGGCCTGTTTATCTATGATCATATGACTAATGAGATTAACATTAAACGCTCTGCAGACTCGACAACTATCTTAGAAAAGCGGCACACCAGCGAGTGTTTAGTCCAGAGGCGCTACGTTGATGCAAGGGAGTCGCAGGATCTCTGACTGCAAGACATCGAGGTCAAAAACCGATGTTAAAAGAACTCGTTCGAATTGACTTTTCTAACTCTCGGGTCTTCTATCTTATTTATCCTATATTTTATATCTTCAGGGGACTTTGTCAATGTGCTAGAGTTGCACAATTTTTTTTTTGTTTTTGTTTTTTTTTTTGTATATACTATTGCTTACCTCTGGTATCTACCAAGATCACTTTTCTAAATATATGTATGTAATGGACGTTTTATAGCCGCTGAAGCAATTCTTGGCCGAACTCATGCGCCAATTTGTGGTATGCGTCCATTAAATGGAGGGACCTACAGGTTATTCCAAGCCGCCTCCGAACAGTCGTTATGTTTTGATGAAATTCTTTGTTTCATGTCAGCTATTAGAAAAATTAACTTTTATTTAAGTAACTCAAGACTCGAATGCGAGCACTCAGAAAGGCAGTATGCAGCACAAACCTCTCGGCTATTGCGACCAGACTATAGAGAGCAATGATACGGAATCAGTGAGACAATTTCTTTCCTACAACAACACTATGAAAAACATCTTAACGCTATTAAGCCATAGTATTTCAATTCTCAACCCAGCCAACTTATGTATTGCAATCGTTTTCTAATATCCCAAGCAGAAACGAGTGAAGCTGTAACTACTGAAGTCCTTTCGGCAGTGTGAATCTATACACGGACAGCTCGAGACTTGAGTTACTAGAGAACTCTCATTTAACCCACATGAAACTTCCAGTGTATTTCAGGCGCAAAACTCTAATATAATGTGTTGAACTGTCCCCGATCCTGATCATAAGTATATCAACTAAAGTTTTATGGCAAACAAGCTGCCATCAAGCAAATTTAAACAAAAGAAGTTAAGGACTTGCGCAGAAATCTATGAAGTCGGCATTGGTGCTAGCAGCTCTGACACGCAGAACGTTTGGTAGCTCTCGGCATAAGATTCGGAACGGTCTGTCTGGATGATTCTGGTTGGACATTTGGAGCCTAATGGTCAGGTTCGGGCCTCATCTGGTCGAAATATAATTAATGTATGGTACTTTCGTTGGCAAACCTAACGTAAAAATATCTGATATTGGCCGATAGAAAATTAATAATGGAAACGAAGCCGATATATCAAAGTTATTAGAGATGACATCTGCAACGAACTAAATATTATTTATTGTAGAACTTGCCCAACATGATGCTTTCTCCGAAGACTAAGTAAGGACTTTGAGCTATAAATCCTTTTTGAGAATTATGTTACACTTGACTTGCACATTTTTAATCTTTTTCACTTTTGCGCTTCATAATCGACATGAGCACAATAATTATGATTTTTCGAAATAATTAATAACTCGTATATGTAAAAATGTATGTATGTACTATATATACTGTATATAAAATTAATAACAATTACCTTTGCTGGCAAAATCTCCACCAGCACGACAAATGTAACTGGTATCACACCCACATTAGCCGATAGTATGATGAGCGCCATGAAGAGCAGCGGCAGCCACGAACGATATGGTGTTAGATCCACACTGGTCTCTTCGGCAAAGAACGCATACAAGCCGAAGCCGGCCAAACAAATGCCCATCGCCGCTGTTGAGAACATAAGTAAAATCTTACGACCATAGCGATCCACCAAAATGATCGCTGTTATGGTGCCAATAATTTGCACAACACCAATGATGGTGGTATTGGTATTTGGATGTATGTCCGTTTCGATGGCAAAAAAGATGCTGGATGTATAGTTGAGTAGAGCAAAACTTCCAGTGAATACGTTAATAATCATGAGCATAATGCCCATGCCGAGCGTACGTAGAGCGCGTTTACTAACTGTAGATGTGAATGGCGGTTTAATAATGTAAGTAACTGTTAAATAAATGGTACACTCACCGAAATCACGCCATGTGACGACATCTGTTTGTGACTTTTGCGCCAAAACTGAATCACGTAATTCCGAAAATTTCGCATTAAACGTCTCAATATCCTCCTTATTGCCAGCCTTGTAGGACTGATAGAATTTAAAAGATTTCTCCGCCTTCTCTTCCTGTTCGCGATACAAGAGAAATGTTGGCGTTTCGGGGAAGAATGTTTCGATGAGCAGAAAGAGCAATGGCAGCGATATCACGACCAACGGTATGATGTGGTATGGCACATTGGAAGAGAGTGTGAAACCTGCTAGCATGCCCGAATTGAGTGTGAGTGTGAATAATGATGTGAGGCGACCGCGTATGCTGTGAGAGAGTGTCAAAAGCTTGAATTGTGGTTTGTGGTAATGAAATTGCAAGTGTTACTAACGTTGGATCCACGATTTCGCCAATGAAAATCGGTATCACTACATAAGTGCCGCCACCAGTGATGCCACCAAGGAAACGCGCAAGGTAAAGATATTCAATGGATTGTGCAAAGTAGACGCATAGCCAAAAGCCCTTTAGTTGGGAGTTTGTTTGTTTTTTTTTTTTTTTTTTTTTTTTTTTTTGAAAAAACATTTATTTTAGTAAAAGTAATTATGTACAAATGGGTGATGTAAGAAATCTACATAAGTTTGAAATCAACGAAATATCAATTTTGAGCTCAAAATGAAGAGCTAAGAATTCCAAAAAAAGGCCAGAAAAATATGAAATAATTAAAAAAAAAAATTAATGAAATTTCGGAGATGAAAGAAAAAGTGTGGTAAAACCGAAAAAATTCTATCTGAACCCCATGCAAACACCACGGTAGGAGTTTTCAGAATGTCTTAATCTGATTTCAGATACAAAACGAATTAATATTGAGTTCCACCATTTATTCAATAATTATATTTATTTTTTGTTTCAATTTAATGTCATGCTATACCACCCAAGATTAAAGAAAAGTTTTTTCACAAATAAACTTACAATATGTGGCAACGCCAGACTATAAATACACGCTTTGCGGCCAATAAGATCCAAGAGCAGTCCGAAAAGCACATTACCCGTGAAGCCGCCTAAATTTACGAGTGCACCCATCCACGAGCCCTGCTCCACAGAAACGACAAAATCGAGCGGGGTCTCACTTGGCGTTTGAAGTTTAAAGAGCATTGGCGCAAACCAACCAAGGCCAGTTCCATGGCAAAATGTGATTATGGTTACTAAGCGGCAAAATTTAAACGAAATCATGTAAATTTTTCATATTTTATTAAACAGTTGTGTGCATACATATGTACATATATATGCATCTGATTATTCAGGCTGCGATTGAGGCCAATAAGTCATGACAAGAGGCAATTATATTTTAAAAATAATGCGTAACGTCAAGTATTGCAGTGAAGTGGAAAAGCGGATTACAGCAAATTGAGCAAAATTGCCAAAGAAGCACTTTTACTTGTAAGAATTTACACATAATTATTTGTAAGAAATAAATTTATTATATTATTTTTTATTTTATTTTAATTTGTTTTATTTTCATTTTTATTTATTTTTTTTCATTTTATTTACAAAAAAGAAAGATATTTGTGTTTGTCATTTTTTTGTAACAATTTAGTGAACGAAAGGTCGAACAAAGAAGAATGGCAGATGTGTTGCATAACAAAAAATTGTATTCATACAAACAAAAAGGTTTTCATTTTTTTTGGAGTTATTTAATTTAAAAAATTTAGGAATGCATTTTATTAATCAAAGATTTTCTATATATCACCCAATATTTAAAAAGCAAAATTTTCTATATATCACCCAATATTTAAAAAGCAAAATTTCAGAAATAAACTTACAATATGTGGCAACACCAGACCATAAATGCACGCCTTGCGGCCAATGCGATCCATAAGTTGCCCGAAAAGCACTGTGCCCGTGAAGCCTCCCACAGATATGAATGCACCCATCCATGAACCCTGCTCCACCGACACGTCAAAATCGAGCGGGGATTCAGTAGGTGTCTGTAGCTTAAAGAGCGTGGGAGCAAACCAACCAGAGCTAATTCCATGGCAAAAGGTGATTATAGTAACTAAGCGACATTTAAACGAAATTAAGAAAATTTAAGTATGTAAGTCATGGCAAGACAACTATATTTTAAAATGTAGCGTAATATAGTGATGTAAAAAGGCGAATTAGATGTACATATATGTATGTATGCATATACATATAATAATTTGAACAAACTTATGAAAAAAGCACTTTGACGTTGAAGAATATGCACGCATTCAATTCAAAAAAAAAATATTTCTCATTCATTCATTTTATTTTAATTTGCTTTATTTTATATTATTTAGCTTTTTGATATATTTTACATTCTTTTTTTTAACTATATTTTCAAAATATAATCAGCAACGTTAGAAAAAATGAGGTCAAACCAAATAGAACACACCAACAACAGAATTTGTTGAAATGTCTCAAGCAACGAGTATACAAAGTCTTGAACTTGTCTTATCTACAGAAGATATTTATTTCATCAAAGATTCTATATATCACCCGGCAAGCAAAACAAAATTTATATATATGTTTTTGAAAATGTACAATATATATGTATATGGTTTTAATGAAACATATATGGCAGTGAAAGAAAGTAAAAACACGCCTTGCGGCCAATAAGATCCAAAAGTTGCCCAAGAAGCACATTACCCGTGAAGCCACCTAAACATGCGAGTGCACCCATCCGTGAGACCTGCTCCACGGACACATCAAAATTGAGCTGAGTTTCACTAAACGTACGTACTTTAAAGAGCGAACCAACTAAGACCAGTTTCATGGTAAAATAATTGTAGTAACTAAGCGACATTTTAAAGAATTCCAGAAAATTTGTAAATATTAATTATGTAAATACTTGTTGCATATGTACAAATAGATTTTAGAATGTAGTTTCAGCCATCAAATAATAACAAGACAGCTCAAATAAGCTACTTCGAATAAGTTCTTTTGAAATTCAATAATTCAAAATAAATATTTTATTTATTATTTCCTTTCTTTATTTATTTTATTTCATTTCACTTAATTTTATTTATTTTACTTTATTTATTATATTTTTGTTGTGCTACTTCATTTTATTAATTTCATTTTATTTATAATATTTTTGTTATTTACTTAATTTTTTATTAATTAATTTATTTTTATCATTATTATTATATTTATTTAAAAAGTGCGCTAAAGTTTGTTTACATTTGTTTGTTTGGCGTTAATTTTAATATGGAGCCCACAAAGGAGCATTTTCGTCATATTTTACTNTACTTTCTTTTAAAAAATCCGCAATTACTTTTTGGGCAACCCAATAGTTTATTTAATTTTGTTTTGTTTTTATTTTCCTTTTTATTTTATTTTATTTTAGTTTTTAATTTTTAATTTTTTTTATTTATTTTTTTTTTTAATTTTTGTCAATTTTATTACATTTATTAAAATTTAATTTTGTTTTATTCCATTTTGTATTACATATTTTATTAATTTTTTTTTGCTTTATTTTATTTTGATTTATTTACTTCATTTTACTTGTCCAGTTTAAGTTTATTTATTTTTTTAATTTGTTTGGTTTTATTTTATTTAATTTGTATTTTACTTCATTTTATTTTAATCTTTTTTATTTATTTTTTCGTTATGTTTTCTTATTAATTTTAAATTTTTAATTTTATATTAACTTATGTATTTTATTTAATTTAGTATAACTTTATAGAATTTTATTTAAAAACAACAAAATTAAATTTGTTTTAATTAATTTAATTTCGTTTAGTTTTTCTTATATTATTTTATTTTATTTTTTTTTTAGTTTTTTATTTCATTTTGCTTTATTTACTTTATTTCGTTTATTTTGTTTAGTTTCTGTTAGTTTTTTCTTTTTATTTTACTTTATTTTATTTTAGACCTTTATGTATATATTTTTTCTTCTAATCTCTTATTTTTATTTATATTAATATATTTACTTTATTTTATTTAGTTTTAATATCAGAAATTTTATTTAAGTTTATTTCATTTCATTTAATTTAATTAAATGTAGTTTTTGTATTTTATTTTATATTATTTTTTTTTTTCATTTATTTACTTACTTACTTTATTTCATTTATTTTGTTTAGTTTCTTTTATGTTTTATTCTAATTAGTTTTTTAATTTTTTCCTTTTTATTTTACTTTATTCTATTTTAGACTTTTTATGAATATATTTTTTCTTCTAATCTCGTATTTTTATTTATATTAATATATTTACTTTATTTTATTTAGTTTAAATTTATGAAATTTAATTTAAGTTTATTTCATTTCAATTAATTTAATGTAGTTTTTGTATTTTATTTTATTTTATATTATTTAATTTTTTTTTACTTAAAATAATGTTCTTATTGTTTTTACATATTTTGTTTTATTTTATTTTATTTAGTTTTATTTAATTTTTCCCCTTTATTTTATTTTATTTCATTTTACTTTATTTTAAGTTATTTTATTGTAATTTATTTTATATTATTGCATTTTTGTTTATTTTATATATATTTTTTTTTTTTTGATTTACTTTAATATTTAAGAATTTTAATTTCTGTTTACATATTTTTATTTCATTTTGTATTTTTGTTATTTCCATATTCACCACAACACTATTCACATTTCATGTATCATGCAGTCATGCTTCCAATATATGTATGTATGTATATTACATTAAGCACACACAGTTTACGCATTATACAACACAAGTTTGCATCAACTTTACCACTTGCTGCCGCCAATAATTGCAACCGGAATTCACTACGAAAAACGCCTTCGGAATTTTTACATAAATTCAGCAACATAATTCAGCCTTTTCTTTTCAAAAGCTTAGCGCAAAAAACCAGTTTAAGCGCAAACTAGAGCCACACTTATGTAAATATATGTGTGGATAAGTAAGTAATGAATTAATACAAAATTTCACTTAATATATTTGTAAATATTATTAGTATATTATGTTAACAAAATAGCGACTTGTGTACTCCATCACTGGCGGCGGCGAACTGTTGGCTCACACTTTTAAAAACTCAAACAAAGTTGCCAAATATTATACAAATAAAAATATAATTTAGTGCCTTTACTCGCAGCATTCGTATATATATTTATTGGGTTGTTTCACATTTTTACTTGCATTTTTTATCTGAAGCAAACATCACAATATGCCAAAGAAAGGTTAAAATCTATATTCAGTAATCTAAAGAGATGTAATTAATAGTGCTGAGCGAAAATTTCGGTATTTTGGATTAAGTAAGACAGTATCATATCGGGTTTACTTTTGAACTTATTACTTATGCATATATTTAGTTTCTCAATGACAGGTGTTTGCTTGGTTTTAAAAATTAATTTCTATATATTGTACATGGTAATTTATCAATTGATTTTTTAAATGAAGTTGTATTTTAGTTTAGAAATAAAAAATTTAATCAAATGAAAATAAAAATTACAAAATAAAATAAGTTAGAATAAAATAAAAAATACATAAAGCAAATTAATATAAAATAGTTTAAAGTAAAATAAAATAAAAAAAAAAATAAAAAAAAAATAAAAAATAAAAAATTAAACATAATAACAGAAAACAATGTGAAACAATTAAATAAATTTATTTAAAAAAGGATAAAATTAAGATAAAATAAAATAAAATTAAATAAAAATAAAATGAAATAAAGTAAAGTAAATTAAAATAAAAGAAAATAAAATGAAACATAATAACGGGAAACAAAGTAAAAAATTAAATAAAAAGAAACAGCACAAAATAAAAAAATGAGATTAACTACAATAAAATACAATAAAGTAAAACAAAATAAATTAAAAACTTATGAAAATAAAATGAAATAAAATAATATAAAATAAATTATAACGAATGAAATAAAACGAAATTGTGTTAGCTTAAATTAAATTAATAAAAAATTGATTAATTATAAATACATTAATTGAAAATACCTTAAAGAAGGAATGAAATTAAAAGAAATTAACAAAAATGAAATAAAATAAAGTAAAGTAAATTGAATTAAAACAATACAAAATGCAAGTATTAAAAATAAATCTCTGTCACAAAATGAAAATAAAATATATGTAATTTAATAAACACAAATTAAATAATATAAAATCAAATGAAAGAAATCGGAATGAAATAAAATTAAATTATACCAATAAAATTAAATTACGTAAATGAAACACAATTATAAAAAAATATAAATAAATTGAACTGAAATACAAATGAAAGCTTTAAAAATTAAATATCTGAATTGTTGATAAGGGCAGTTAATGAGTTGCCAGTACCAAAGCCAAGAAGCTTCATAATTAAGTTATTATTTATTAAATTAAATTATATATTCAAAAGTTAAGTAAAGACAAATTGAATATTTTTAAAGGTTTAAAAAATACTAACAAAAGAAAAATAAAAAAATAGTAAATTTTTATTAAACGAAGTTGCAAAACCCAGTTGCGACTCCAACAAAAATTTGTATCTTCAACCGGTTGGAGTAAATTAATCAGACGAAAACCACTTGATGCTAAAGTTTCTCTTTTGAAAAAAAAAAATTTATTTCTTAAGATTTTACAATAAATTCTGCTTGTGATAAGTTAATCGCCTAGAAGAAATTCCGGGATTAACAACACTAAAAGTCAAATATTTGTATTCACCTAGATAATATTTTCCCTGACATTCACGCTTTTGTTCATACACTTATAGGTGCAAAAAAAGTTGAATATCGCGTCAGATTTGTCGTAAAAATGTCATAGATGCAAGAGAAGAAATCATTTTAGCTTTTTGTTTGTTTATTTTGTTATAGAAAAAATAAACCAAATTCGATATAAACGTGGAAAACGCAATCGCACTTTGTTTCGAGCAAAATTTTTCCACTTCTGAAAAAATATCTAAAATCCTCTTTACTATGAGATTATTAGTGCCTCAGATAACAGTATTTTAAAGCTAGCCGATCATCATAGTAATTACGTATGTACCTGACGAAATTGTACATGTCATAAGAGATCAGATTAATATTTGTATGTATGTATGTATTATGAATTTATTTTTAGAGGACAAATTTTTTTGATTTTTCTTGTAAAAGCTCTCAAAAGCTTTAAAATTGAAACAAAAAAAATTATTTCAAAATATTTTTTTCACCTAAAAGTATATTTTAGACTTTGGACGCAATTCATAGCGCACTTACAAGTATATACATACATATTTATTTAACATATACATTTTGCTAAAACTTTTGTAAATATTTTGTTTTTTTTGTATTTTGCTTACGCTAAAAACAAAATGTAATAAAAGTATAAAATATTATATTAACGGTAAGGTTTTATTCGCCGTGATAACTTTGTTTCAGGATAGAAGACATGATTAGTATCTTTATTAGTCTACTCTACGAGTATTTACTCAAAGTAATTGCTAGTCTAATTAAGAGGAATGAAGCGAGAGAAAGAAATATAATTTTCAACCTAATGACTTTTTAAAAGTTAAAACAAAAAAAAAAAAAAAAAAAAAAATTGCGAGATAACATAATGTGCCATCTGCATTACATACACTAAGACCTATTGTAGATAATTCGAAACTCAGTAAGGGATAAGCAAATCTGGCTAAGTACACAGACAGTTAGTTGCTACGAAAATATTTTATCATGTATACTATGAACGGTAAAGTAAATTTGGTTAATTATGGAACTGAATTCGGTATTCTAGCGCACTGGTTACATAAAAGCTTTGGCAGCACTGCTTGCTTTCGTCCATGTCAAATTACATTTGCCAATTGGTAAAGTAAAAAGAAGAATATTTATATATTATATAATATATGTACATTTATTTACTCATTTGTTGTTAGTAAGCAAATATAGTAGTTAGAGATAATTGCTTCCAACGCACTCCCGATACGACCCGTGGGAAAAAATATACTGTTGGGAGAAACCTCAAATAAAACGGCAAAGATGTATTTTGTCTAAAAAAAATTTGATTGATTGAAAATTTATAATGAAAAAAAATAAAAATATTGTCATACCGTGCCCGTTCGTTTATAAGCTCTAAACAAATTGTTTTGTACAGCCAGAAATTCTGAATGAAAACACTATCTTCCAAATTAAGAGGGTCATGTTTTTCTCGCAAACTTCTAAACATACGCTTTTTTGTACTTTTTTCTTCACCTTCAATGAATTCCAGGCCTTCAATATGCCTACCCATTTTTTCTTTTTTCTTTCAATAAATATTTATCTTGTTGTTGCTGTTGTTGTTGTAGCGGTTCGCTAACCCCGCTTAGGCACAGGTTTGATCAGTCTTAGTCGCCGAGGTCATCTAATGATAAGTCCAGGAGACGAGCTGTTTCGATGGGGTTGGACCAGAGGCAGAGAGTGGTTAGATGAGTTGGTTTGAGAGGGCATGTGAAGAGGTGGTTAGTGTCGTGCGGAGACTCTCCACATGCAGAGCATATTTATAATAAATATTTATCGTAAAATATACCTATAAATTTTGGTTTTTATTTATTTATTTTATATTATTTTTTTCAAATTAACAACACAAAATTATCAACAATTTATATGTTAAATCCCATTTTGCGGGTGACAAAACTTACAGAGTGACATTGAATACAGAATATGAAATACAAAAGCAACAAATTTAACTGAATGGTAAATTTAAGTACCAAAGCAAATTTTAATACCTCGACAAAATAGACCTATAACTGTTATCTCTAAATCGCTCCCAATGTCAAGAAGTGTAATAAAAAGTTCTCAAGTTTGAGTGTTATTTGTCTAAAAGATGTGAGCTTAAATCCTGAGTGATTTGTTAACAGAATTATTATTCTTTACTTTCTTGTTTTTTAAGAGAAATTTTCCGAAATATGCCATAACGAATATACTTGTGTTTGCATAGCTCATATATACCATATATATTATATATTTAGTGTTCATTTTGCATTAATCACAGCGAACCGTCATCGCACGGGTTTTAAAGTTGCCGAAGTTATGGAGGGTATTCTTCTCCACACCTTAAGAAGGTGAAACCTGATTCACCAATCAATGAATATGTAACGGTTATTCCATTAAACGATTACGTTGAGTTCTGAATATCAATTCTTTCTAAACCGTGGCTTCAGATCAGATAAATCCAACATTGATTAAAACTTTGATTGATTGAATTTTTTAGTCGTATTGAGGGTAGTCAGCGAACGCACTCCGGTCTTGGCAACCTCTTTGGCTAGATTATATCGTCCGTCTGGCTTTGAAAGTGATAGCCACTGATGAAGGCAGTGGAAGGGGAGGATCTCCACTCTGTTAGAAGAATAAGATTAACTTGGTGTTTCCAATTATTGCCATCCAGCAATGAAGTAAACGTCTGGCGATTTTGTTATAATCATCAAAGCTGTGCCTCCACCAATTAAGGAGAAAGGGCTATGCGAATCGATCGCAAGAGAAAGGTAGCAGCCCAGCAGTTGCTATGAGAAAAGGAAAGAACGACTGCGTTTCGAAGCTACCAGTCGAAAAGAGTGCAGAGGCGGCCATTGTAAATAATGAAAATATAAGGCGGTCATACCTTCATACAAATATAGTAGGAATTCTTGAAGACGAAGCGGACAGCATATTTAACAGTATTGACATATGTAACTAACCTTAAACTTGAAGTTATCCACAAAACTCTACGCGAACCTCGAACCGAAAGAATCTACCTCTGAATATTACTTTAATTTCGATTTTTAAGTGAACCTTAAACGATTGGGTCTAAATAAATACAAACTTTTACCTACATACAATCATGCTTTTGACAACTTAACGAAGAAAAGGCGCGACAAATCAGTAGTAGCTCCTGCCACCCGCCACCGTCATAAAACCACTAACTCTTATCTAAAAGTGGGGTTAACCCATATTTACCTCATTCCATACACTAAAAGATAAAAGCGAAAAATTAATAGAAAAAATATAAAATTAAACTTAAAAATTATTACTCGCATTGGAAAGCTCGTGATAGCGAGTCTTCTGTAAATATTCGAAATATTCAATATTTTGTTTGTGGTTCATTAA